AACCGGATTAAAGCGAAAAGCTGCTATTGAATTAAGACAAGTATGAATAATTAATTGTATTTTCTTGTCTGATCTTGACTGGGCGTCAGCGAGGTTTATTTGTATGATCCAACTTGGTGTACAGTACGTGTCTCTACGATCATCATACATCATGTACCAGAGTCCTTTTGACTGCAGTATTAAGACGAAATGCTGACAAAAAATGTCAATAAATAGAAACAAATCTAAATATTATTTTTCCTAATCAACTGTCAAAGATGAAAACTGAACGTTAGATCAAAACCAAAATTTGATATTCATATTTTATCATCAGGCCGTATTGGCAATACTGGTTGTATTCATTTTGATACGTTTCTGTCAAACAATTATTTGATTTATTTTCAGGTTAACTGAAGATTGTCCTAAGTATTACCAAATTTATACTGTTTGTACCCTAAAATGAAATTATTGTTTGTTTTTAATTATGATAAATTTCAATGACATTTTTTATTTACACATACTACAAGTATTTTATACCTTATTTCATTTCTATATGTTAAAATTAATAAATATACATGTACAGCGAGGTATTTATATTAAATATATTGTTTCTGTCAATTTAAAAACATGAAAAATAATTGTTTTTGGTACATAAAGCTTATACAACCAGTATTCCATAATGTATAACCAGTTATGTTCTAAAATGAAAATAACACAGTTATAGTAATATGACTTTTGTCAAAATATTGATTGTTTTCATTGTTTATGTTATAGGAAACATGTGTTACCAGTGCTATTAGTTTACATCCTGAAATGAATAAAGACATTTTTCAAAGAGTAGATTGTGGTATTAAGAATCAACATATTGACAAAGTTTGTAATTTTGAATTTCTAAACACTGTAAATCATTTCTGTTGTGAATGTACACACGGCGGTTTAATGATTAATGGCTGAAATTATTATCGGATGTTTTGTAATCCTAAACGTCGATAAGATATATAAACTTTCAGTTTTACTTTAGAAAAAAAGTTTTCTTCACATTTAATTACTGATAAGTGTCCTAATTCTCAAACTTTTTCTATCTCTCTTTTTTTCTGTGACTCTACTTGTTCTACTCTTTACTTCGTGTCTCTCCTCCGTTTTTCCTTCCTTCCACTTTTTTATTACCATACATTGTATAAAAATATCATTTATATGTATGCTGCGTAAATTGCCTTATCGAGTAATAGTCTATATTCTTGAATTTTGAAGAAAAGGACAGTGATAAGTTGTCAGAGCTTGTGTCCAATTATTTTGTAAATATTTATTTGCAACAAAATATGTTTAAATCAATATTTTTACTACAATATTAAAATATTAGGTTAGAAATTATTTTCGTACTTCATCCGAAAGTATTGTATGTGTTTCACACTGAAAATTAACGCTAAAAGTCAATTTATATCAATAATCATTTTAGTCTGATAATACTTACAACCTTTAATACATGTTATATCTAATCTCAAGAATAAATTCTATGAGAACTCAATATGCAAATTTCATAGTAAATATACAGATCATTATACATTAATATTGCTACTAATTATTGTGAATTAGATATGTCGACATATGCAGTATACATGTATACATATATACCCATCTATACACATGTACCTTGCGTATTACGTCCATGATTCTCGGCTTAAACTGAATATTCTTGGTGTTTATGTTTAGCTTCCGCGTCAGTCTCGAAATCCCTGGCGTTATAATCAATTAAAAAACAAGATGTTTCGTTTCAAATGCATTACTTAACAAATAATTCGTAACAAACGATCAATATTTATAATTACGCCCACTAAAGTACAACGTATTCAGAAATTTAATTTGATTTGAATTTAATGAAAGTCTTAGATTTAAAACTGACAAATAATTATGTCTCACGGTATCAACAGTTCCTCAGGAAATGATGAATGAGAAAATAAGTAAGGAGTGGTTACACAGGAAGACACCCAACTTTATTCTTAACGAAAATACGGAGACGTCAATGAAAAGGTTCATTTTAAAATAGAAAATAACACGTTTGATGTTCAGTCTCCGATTCTTTTCGAATCTAGAATCAATCTAAATATTGAGTAATACTATCCTTTAGTTGCAAGTCTATTTCCTGTGCCGAAAAAGTCAATTTTCAATGGTCACTCTTGGCTAAAAGTGACCATACGATAACACAGTTGGCCGTAGTATTGTCCGAAAAATAAATTCGCTCTTGAGTGATCACGACTCTTGACCGGGGTATGTTTTATCTATTCACGTACTATTGCTTTTAAGATAACAAAAGGACAAAAACTGACCCCTCGCGTGACTGAATACGGCCCGCGGTGTTTCGCTTTATCTGACCACTTGAGCTGACCGAAGCGATGTGTCGGGGAAGGACACCTCCATCTAAATATTTAATAATACTTCAAAGTTCCGAAAAACCACAATACCCAGAGGCACAAAATAGCAATCGTGATTACGTTGGAGACTGTGAAAGTCATTGTCCGTAAACAGACAAATACGTACAAGGCCAGTCCGAAATAGCACAGGGGAGAGAGGACGATTAGGTACGCTAACATAAATGATAGGTAAATAGGTCTGATTTCAACTTACAGATAAATATCATCTCTTTCACTTTTACTAAGGTATATATTTGTGATGACACAACATACCTGTACTAAATAACAAAACTCCCGAGCACGAAATATGGATAGAGTCAAATTAATATATCAGTTTATAAATTGACCAGCTATATAATTATTAAAATACGTCATGATTCTTATTAAAACGACGAATTCAACCTGCATGTACAGATAAACCATCAATTGTTTTCATTCTTTTAACATATGTATGTACTTTTGATGAAACTAACTGCATTTATTAAATGTACATCACAAAATCACACAGCAGTGTTACAAATTATTCTACTTGGACACGTTTAAATGAATAAACCTATTTATAGATCTATCAGTTACATTGTTACTTAATGTGTCAGATTTCTAATGAAGAAGTATCCAAAATATAGAATTCAATGTAGAAAAAACTAAATATTCGATTCTGTAACATATTCAATTGATAAAAAACATATACCTGCTATGAATGAAATAGACATCATTGTTAAGTTGGCATCCTCAATTAGAGCAGATTTGTTAAAGGTTTCCGTTGATTAATGGTTTATCAATACATGTGTGAATTTCTGTCGAGAATACACATCTGGAGCCTAGTGTTAATTGAATAAGACCCGGGTTCATGGGTTGCGAAGTTTAAATACATTAGCCCTGTGTTATAACAATTCACAACCGATACAGGGCCATCCAGTTCACTTTAATTTTAGATCAGGACAAAATATGTCAGGAAAAGATTTAGAAATAGTTTAAAACGGTTTTTAACGACCTCAACACCGGAGTTTGAATCAGCAGTTTAAACATTATATTTTGTTTTATATACGATTTTTTAAGAAATATCCAGATTCTACATATCAGTTACATGTTTTATGATTGTCTATTTCAGCATAATGATTAATTAACTAATAATATGCACATTTTTTTCGACAAAACGAATTGCAGTGTAACGTGAGGAAGGACCTGACCCCTTTTACCCTTTTCTTCATCTCGTTCCAGATGGCGACTAAGAGGAAGTGCAGTCGTATGGATTGTTTCTTGAAAGAACACAACACTGACGAAATATGTACTCCGTCAGCAGTCTTTAACACAAAAATGTTTGAGTAGATGTCAGGAACAATTAAATTTACGTCATAATAGAGCTGTATAAGTAACGCAATAAAACGTTAACGAAATATAAAAATACAATGAGGATTTACAATGTTAATATTACACGTCTATTAATGTCAGTATTTAATTAGTTTTACAATGAAATGCCGTATACAATTTAATAATAACTGACAGCTGCACGCAAAGGTGACTGTGGTTTAGACACTGTTGATAGATTTATATACGACGCAGCAGAGAAACACAAACACAAGTTTGTGGAAATTGTTTTAGAATGTAATGGAGATATTAACTTATGCATGTTGCATTATATATATACATTTACCGTGCATTTAATTACTCAGAACGGAATTAAATACATACAATATTGTCATTTACACGTTTTTAGGATATTTTAGTTAACACAGTAGCATTACTAACCTAAGCCTGCAGCGCAGTTTATCATTTAAATAAGCATTATAAATACTATAAATTTAACACTGTTATTGAATCATATAAATATATTATTATTATATTCATTTTCATGTAGTGTCAATCATATTTTACTAGTTATTAACGAAATGTTTTTACTTAAAACGTAAATTAAAATTACCGATATGACAAACATCCGCAGATCGTTTCTACCACATATATATAGAAATATAGTATAGTAATGTTATAAACAGTTGTATTTACTGTTACACACAAGTTTGACACATAAGATGTTCAGTTAAAGCCATCAAACAGCTTGTCACGTTTAGGTTACTCCAGTGAATCACAGAGAAAATACCTTACGAATAGAAATATATCCATGAAAAATGGTTAAAACCAGGGGTAAAACTTTCCAGCATCCTCATCGATGAAAGTCGAACATCAAAATACAGGGAATCTGCATTACTTCACTATTATTAAATAGATGGGAGGGTAAATGTTTTGTGCTAATGGTTTATTTACGACCCCTGTGTTTGTAAACAGACACGACATGTCATTAAAAAGGCCATTATAATTACAATCTCGTTTGTATAATCATTAATACCAACGCGCCGATAGAATATCTTCTTTGGCGATAAAGATATAAATAATGGCTCAGAAAATAATCACCTCGGGCATGGCTGTGTCAACCTTAAATTGTTTGTCTTAAATAACCACAGTAGGTATTATAGGTGAAGGGGCCTAATTGCATCCATAACGGGACAGGCCATCGCCCATCCCGCCAAGGAAACACATAGACAATTTGTAATAGAATACACGAATTAACGATAAAACACGATCTTATCCACTATGATGTAGAGAGGAAAATATTACCTTTCGCCGATGACAAGACAGACGAGTGCTTCTTTGGGTGGTAGAGATCCACCGTGGTCATAAACTAGCCGGCTATCGTAGATGTCATAGCCCTCTGTTGGAGAGATGGGTCACGTGACCCAGCAATACAACTCCGCGTGCTGAGGATGAGCGAACACTGTCCCCCCAATAGGCTGAGAAAATCAACAGTGAGCGGCCGTGTACCTATCACTGAAGCGTGTGTGTGGAAGGCGAGAGGTACTGAGGCTGGGTGCACTTATATCAAATAACAACATATTGTAAAACTGCCAAGCAACGTCTATAGGTATTATTACTGCTATTGTAAAATAAGATAATACTTATTTAAATACCTCACGTTGATTTATGTTCACCCTTTAACTGTATTATGCTAAGAATGTTTGCTAGAAGATGTTTGTTAAACTGTTGCATTGTTATTATTTCAAAATTAAAAGAAAATTTGCATGTTAATTACCATTTCCATTATAAGAGCTCGAGTGTTAGAAAGTACCCAGATTCAATATTTTATTTTATTTCATTTTCATGATATGCTATATAACGTGTGTTCAAATCAATATTTTATTTCCTTTGTTTATTTACATTGAAGCATGGTAAACTAAAAGTATACGTACCACACAAAGATACACAACCTTACACAGAAATAATTTCCGTTCTTCTCAATGAATGGAAAAGAATCAAGCGTTTGAGCACATTAAGATCAGACAAACTGTTCAATTTAAGGGTTTCACTTTTGAAGTAAAACAGTTTTCAATACATTTATGTGAGTAGCCATTTTGCAATTCTCTATTATAATCTCACCTGCTTCAACTATAGACGGTGACATTGTTGATCAGTCGTCAGTGTCTTGGAGTTTACGGTAGCGTTCAGAATGTTAATTAAATGATATACTAACATACGTTGAGTAAATAGCATGCATTATTTATATCATTATTAGAGAAACTGGTAGATATTTCAATGTATGTTGCTATAATTGGATTCAATAATTACTTTCGATTTTATCCCACTTATTATTTTTGAAATATATTTGTTTGATGTAATGTTAATTCCATTGCTATTTCAAATTGATGTTGTATTAGCCTATCCCAGCAAACATAAATAAGGTGTGAATTACAATATTCATATCATATTACATTGTGTATGTCCTATAACCACACGCTGATTGTGTACCTAATTATGGTTGACATCAACTTTTTAATATTATATATTTTGTCTTAACTTTTTGGGTCTCTAATGAGTTAGAAAAAAAACAATGTTTTAATTATCAAGGAAAACAAACAATTGATTTGTCTGCATGTTTTCTTCCTACTTAACTGTTATGACTATTTCCAATCAATCCAATCTAATCATAGTCTCTACACAACCTTATTTTCAAACAATGACAAGGTCCCTATTTTCATAATTACACGACATCGTGTGCAGTACTGAAGGGGGAACAAAATCTTATTCTTGCTTGATTGATTAAGATATATATAACAAGTATGTGTATACATAGTATACCTAAGCCAGGGTGATGCCCACTTCAAACGATAACATTATATGTTTTATTATCTATAATCCATTCTTAAACGTTCGTGTTCGTTTACCGAGACAGGGTTGTTAAGGAGTAATTGTTTCGTTTCTATCTGACAAAGCATCATAAAATACGTGTAATCATGGGTAGATTTAGTGCTAATCTCTTTGTATACACGTAGTGTATCATTAGTCTGTAGGTTAACATATATACAAAATAACAAAACATCGCAATGAACAGGTATATATACAACCATTATTACTATGCAAATTGAAATGTACACATATATATTCAGTCATTACTACTTTGCTGCTTATAGTGTGTATAACAAAATTATCACAAAGTACAAGTTTTATATTTAGTCATTAGTAATATCCAATTTAACTTATTTACTAATTCACAAAGAATCACATAGTGCGTATACAAAAATCAATAATTACTTCAAGTAGCTAAACATGTTCACGGATCACAGAATATTGCACAGTTCAAATATTATATTCCACAAAACAAGGGTATTATTTTCGGTATCCTTTACAATGATATACCAACGTCTGTGATGGCTATAACTGTTGGTTCCCCATACTGTATTGTCAACATAGTGTAATTGGTCAATGAATTAGTCAACGGTTAGCACTACAAAAGATTATAAGAGGTTAATTGCACGTGAAACAATGATAGACAATTATCAACTATTTAAATAGGACATGAATTGTTAACTGGATCTTATATTAATCCGATTTGAACACACATAAATAGTAGTTTTGCTGTCTGTTAAGCCCCGATACGTTTATTAAGTAAAGGGATCCAGTTAAGCGGTAAAACATATTTCATGAAGTTGATGTTTGTGTTTTTGATTGATGAGTTCACGAAAAGTGTGCATTGTTGTTGTTCTCAACCGCCATTACTGCATGCATTTTAGTGACGCAGACATATATAAACGATACCGTTATATTTAATATGATAATCAAATCTGTTATGGTTAAAGTAGGTTTGCTATGGGTATAAGCAGGTAGTAATATATTTGAAAATTACAAGTATTATTAGTACGTCAATGATTAGAGAGAAAAAACGTTAAGCTAACAAAAGTATTAAATCAACCTGCGGTTCTAAATTTATCTCATTTGTATAACCTTTTTAGGGATAAGTGCAACAAACTAGCATCATTAATGATACCGATGATGCATCCAACATAGAATATAAGTAAATTGGATCAGGATTGTAGTTAATTACTTCATAATACTTATACACAAGGCATTGTTAAATAACTTATAGTTTGTGTTTTAAAAATTATTTATATATATATATATATAGTCTGCTGTTCGCACTGTGTATATTATCATTGATTTTTAACCTTTAAATTGTTTACATGATAGTGTGAGTTTTAGGTGTAGCTTGTATGGAAATATAATTAATGGAAGGTATAGTGCAAAACTGTCATCAATTAAATAGAGAAAATATTGATATAATATGGCATGAAAATATCAATGATTTATAATGCACTTTATAGCAAACAATTTCCAATTGCTACTTACTAACGCTCTTAAGCAAATCTCTACAGCAGAAAAAAATGTCTCTTTTTATACATTAACATGTTATTGGGCATATGCTAATTTTATGAAACTTAGATACAAATGTAATAATAGTTTTCCATGTAACTGCTTTTGTAGTGTCATTTTTTAGTATAAGATCCATTTTCAAAACTGTTCACTCAAAAATATATTAATTAATTAAAAAAAGGCGCGGAAATTTGATTAGGAACTAAACCAAAATACCTGGTTGGTGACAGATATGCAAAAATGATGCGGTTGTATTTATTTCAAACATTGAACATTGATTTAACATCATCATTCGTTCGTTTTTATTTTAAATACAATTGTAATGTAGGTCGATTACTAAAAAGTAAAATTCTTTCTCAACAAAAAAAACCCGGCACAACAGATACTAACATTATGATGTTGCGCTACACACTATGGACAACAAGCCGTTATCTGAACTGCTGAAAATTAGCCTGCATTTAGTGTAAACTTGTTTAATGGTCTTATAATTCTAATGTTAATTAATTTTTATTTTCATGAAACCTGTTATAATAAAGCAATAATATAATAAAATTGAGCACTGAAGTTGACATGATTTGAACTGCATTTCAATTTCTGAAAATATGTAAGCAAAAACATGTATATTTCTTAATAAAATGTTTTAAAAGGAATGGGGGAGAAAAAAGAGGAGAATCAAAAATCTTTTTTAAAACATTCCTAACCGTAACGAAATGTGCATTAGTGAGCAGCAAATGATATAAGGAGCAGTAAATATGATGTAGCATGAAACAAACTGAGTTACATTTCGAACGGTTCAAGTTCATTACGCAACAAAATGGTTTTATAACAGAACTATTACGATGGCATAACGTTGTAAAACTTGAGTGTAATTGTGGAGCCTGGATGTACTATAGCGACCGCTGTCCCGCACACGTCTCTGAACATTATACAGGATCTCCATGAAATGACGAGACAGTTCGAGCCACAAGGAGGCCCAGATGTCTGTTGGAGAGATACCACCCATTCCTCAACCTCACAGGGCTGTTGTTTCATTAGCTGTACTTCTTGAAAGGTCGACCACTCTAATGAAGGATCACAGTGGCCTGTGAAATGAGGAGGGTGTGGAGGGGGACAGCCTGACCAGTACATTTTAACGGTTACAGCTGCTGTGATCTGGCTGGTCAAGACTTTGTAAGGAGATACGGTGTATTGCTTCTTCATGTGGAAATGGAGTGATTTTCATGCAGTCAAACCATTATATTATTTCAAATCTCACATTCAAGCTCAAGATATTTCTATTTCATCAAATCTTTCAGCTCATCTGTTTCAAAAGCGCATCTTAATAGTAAATGCGGTACACAATTGTGATACCCACTAAGACACTTCTTGACCAGTTTTTGTGTAATATTTCACGCTTAATACTGTTTTCTGAAGTTAATATCAAATTATTTCGTCATGCCAATTTAGTTCTGTGTTTCATTACAAATAACAAATGGCAGTGGTCAAAACAATATTCATTTATCCTACAATAAAAAAGGAGGAGAGAATTGTTTTTTTTCACAATTACAAAAGCATTTAAGCAAGTTCTATAGCTTTTTGTGACATCTGATTTTAATGCTTTTTATGTTTACAGCGCCTGTAATAATTGTGTGAGCGTTATATTGGTGTTTTTATATACCAAAACATGTTAAACGTTCTCATGGAAATGATTTGACACCAATGTTGATAAAGAATAAATCCTTTTAGTTATACTTCTGCCTTATAAATATGTGTACACAATAGATACTAATTTATCTATCAACTATCAACTATAGGAAAATAATTCCTTATTTACAAAGGGTGTACAGTGTGGTAATTCTGTTTGAAATCTCCGTTAAAAATAGCTAAACACAATATATAATATAACAACACATATGTACATTTTCTAAAATAAATCATCAGTTTCAACAGTCCAACGAATTAAAATGTATATTTCACTATTTATTGATTAGAAGAAACTACTAGGTATACATAT